ACCCGATCCTCTGAAGATGCCAACAACAGGTGGAGGTGAAACAAAAAAGAAGAAGAAAATGTTGCTAGAATGCACAACACCATACTACCTTTCTTCAACTTCAGGGCGTTTTCCAGGTACTCGTCCTCGGTGATGGGCTTCCCATTCAGTTCCAGCTGCAGCGTGAAGTCCCTCAAGGCCCAGGCGAAGCTGGGGAAGAAGCGCAAGTATTCGGCGGAGTCCTCCAGGCCCCTGCCTGCGCCGCCCCCAGGAGAGGCCTTGGCCTTGATGCGCTCCGTCAGCTCCGTCACGTAGCTGGAGGGGGCCCGGTTCAGGAATCAAGGGCACTGCTGACCACACCATCCCTCCTTTCCTCAAGGCTGGGTCACGACAAGGAATGCGTGGACAGCCCGGAGTGTGGGGTGGGTGGGGGTCAAAATCTGAATTTCTCCCTTTCTTCCCAGTCACTGGATGTGAACTCCTGGCAGATTCTAGAATAAAAGCACGCTCACAAGGAGGGTTCCTTGGATGATACCTTCTTGCCAAGGCCAAGTGAAAGCTAGGTCTAACTCATTCCTGCCAATCCTGTAGTATTTCATTCCGTTTACCCATGACCCCCACCCCACCCCTTGTTATCTATCCTAATTATTACTTTCAATCCCTGCAGAGTATGCAAGATCTCCCAGGTTTCTCCTCCTGGTCCAGATGGCCCTTATCAGACAGCCAGTATTTCACTCCCAAACTGTCATGGAGTGGACAGGCAGCTTGTTAACTTTAGCTGGAACGGACACATCCTGACACTGGAAGTTTGGGATCTATGCGCATATGTTCCCAGTACCTTTTTCTAGGTGCCACCTATACGCATATGTTCCCAGTCCCCTGGGTGCTCTTTGGGTTTGGTCTGCCCAGTGATGGCAATCGCGTCTGGTGGGGAAGAGGGACAGGGCCTTCTCGGTGGTGGCCCCTCGGCTCTGGAACTCTCTCCCATTGGAGATTAGAACTGCCCCTTCCCTCCTGACCTTTAGAAAGTTGGTGAAAACCTGGCTCTGGAATCTGGCATTTGATGAGTGAGGCAATAACTCTTGACCACACGGACGGATGGGGATGAATAGTGATTTTATGCTAACGACTTGGCCTTATATAATTATATGATAGTACTTTAATGTGTTTATATTAGTGTATTATTGGATGTGATGTTTTAAACTATTGTGTATGAATTCCTTTGTTGTAAAGGCCTGAGTCCCTCTTGGAGGTGAGAAGACTGGTATATAAATCTATACACATAATAAAAGTGAAAATCTGTATGTGGCACAGGTGTCTGTTCACACAGACAGCCTCCAGCCTCCACAAATAGGCTATTGTTTCCAGTGCTGAGAAGACAGCAAGTCACTCTCTCGAAGGACATTGCAGGTTATAGCAAGCACATCCCAGTGTTCCTTTCTCTCTTCCTTTGCATGACCCCACCCACTGCTTCTCCCTTATCCCGTTCCAACCTTTCCTTTGGCACACAGCAGAGGAATTCATGAACATACTGGAGAGGTTTGGAGAGAATTCACCATGATTTAGAGGAGTTGTAGGGACTGGGATGCATAGTTCACCTGCAATCTAAGAGCACTCTGAACTGCACCAATGATGGACCTGGAACTCACTTGGCACACAGACCCACCATGGGCAATTGTCCATACTTGCAGAGTTTAGGGGTGATTATTACCCTGAGAGTTGTAGTTCACCCTTATCTAGAGAACAGTGAACTCAGCCAACGATGGATCGGGACCAAACTTGGCACACAGAACCAACATGGCCAATTGTACATACTGGCTGGGCTTGGGGGTGATTGCCCTGGGGATCTGGGAGTTGTAGTTCACCCTTACCTAGATATCACTGAACTCAGCTGCTGTCGGATCTGGACCAAACTTGGCACACAGATCCAACATGGCCAACTGTAAGTAATGGCAGGGTTTGGGAATGACTGACCCACAATTCTGGAAATTGTAGTTCACCCACATCTTTATGCATTTTCTAATGGGAGCATTAATTAAAAAAAAACAAAAAGACTGTTTGTTTTCCTAATAAATAGCATTACACATTACCAAACTGATATTACCAAACTTCACAAAACAAACAATGCCTTCTCAAATAACCCGGGCAGCGCCGGGTCCCCAAGCTAGTGATAAACAAATGGCACAGGGTGGGGTGGCCAATTCTCCATCAGAGAACAACCTTCTACCAATATTTGCTCGCTTTGTGTTACGGGTGTTGAACAGATGTGGGTGTTGCTGGGCTTGCGGCCCTCAGCCTCCCTTTGTCCAAGGGTGGGCTCAGGCGTGCCTCATCGGACCAGTACACCTGGCGTTTGGGGTGGAGGGGGGTCTGCCCCATGGAAGGAGGGGCGGAAGGAAGGATACTGGAGCTGGTCCATGGCGTTCTGGTCAATGGTGCCCAAGCTGTTGTAGACCAGGGTGCTGCTGAGGAGGACGGCCAGGGCAAAGATCCAGGTGTCATTCTGCGTGTCGCCCTGAGAGGAGAGAGGGAGGGAGGCAGGTGTAAAGGGGCGGCTGCTGGGCAAGGTGCAGCCGAGGCATTGCTGGCCCTTGAGGCTACAAGGCTCCCACCCCTCCCCGTCTTCGTTGCATAAGAAAAGGAGCCTGGCCACGTCCAGGCTGGGTTGGCGCAGAGCAGAGGCCCTTCTGAAGAAGGAGCCCCGGGCTTTTACAACCCTCCACGTCTGGCCCAGAAGCCCTCACCAGCTTGTTC